ACACACCTGCACCATCACACCACCTGCATCATCACACACCTGCACCATCACACACCTGCATCATCACACCACCTGCACCATCACACCACCTGTATCATCACACCACCTGTATCTTCACACCACCTGCACCATCATACTGCCTGCACGATCAGTATCATCACACCACCTGCACCATCACACACCTGCATCATTACACCACCTTCACCACCACACCACCTGTTTCATCACACCACCTGCACCATCATACCACCTGCACTATCACACCACTTGCACCATCACACTACCTGTACCATCATACACCTGCACCATCACACACCTGCATCATCACACCACCTGCATCATCACACCACCTGCACCATCACACCTCCTGCACCATCATTCCACCTGCACCATCACACTACTTGCACCATCATACCACCTGCACCATCACACACCTGCACCATCATGCCATCTGCACTATTACACACCGCCTGAAGCATGCCACTCTGCATTGTGCCACTGTGGCTGCTATGATCACAGAGCTGATATGGGTGCTGCTACCTCAGTGAAGTTATACCTAACTTGTTCCTGAGCTTCAAGGTGAGTTACCATTGATAAAGGACCACTGGAAAATCTGAGATAAAGGGTTGTCTGAGGGGTTACCCACTGCCAACATAACTGCCCCCTCCTTTATCCTTTATCTCTTTGGAATGTCTCCCCCTGGCCCATCTGCCAGCCTCCAAGTGTGCCCTTTTCCTTCATCCTCCCTTACTCCATCTGAGTCCCCTTGTCTCTCACTATATCTTCCCTGCTCTGAATATTTTCCTTCCATGGTCACCTCTTCCCTGGTCCACTCTCCCTCCACACACAGTGCCCCTTCCCACAGTCTGTGCCTCGTTCTCTAATCTGCTGGGTCTGGCATCGAGATATGAATGCTTGGGCTCTCGTTTTATGTGACTTATTTCTCCAGTTGGTGTAGGAACATTTCAGGAGAGACACAATCACAGAAAATTATGGGGATTTGAAACTCCAGGTAGAGAGTGTCTCCTATCTGTGTGAAGATTGCATTTCTAGAGCCTGAAATGTCTCTGGGACATGGCACCCTGCTGAGGAAATCTGCTCGGAAGAAGTGGGGCTCAGAGAGGAGCAGCCTTGGAAGGACCCCACAGCCCTCCTCAGGCCTCTCTGCCCTTCCTAGAGAATCTCTGTGAGATGACCCCATCTGAGGGTAGGATATTGACTCCTACAAGGGATCCATCCGTAAGTCCTTGGAGGTCATTGA